CTGTCGAAATTCTTGTAGACTACCTATTACTCATACGGCGAGTTAACAGCAGATTCTTGTTGAACTTCAAATTACCCAGTTGCACTTCCTGTGCTCTCAACCAACTATTTTCTAACACTGAGCAAGTTTTTGTCATTATTGAGAATATCGTTTCTCAAGGTACCTAAGTTATTCAATATTTATGTGGTTTGGCAAATGCCGATGACTGCCATGGTCAAATGAACAAGCGAAACTTAATAAAGTAGATCTCAAAGGAAAATATTTCATATAATTTCTGATAACGCTCCGTACCATTCGAAATTGAATAAAAAAATTGGTCTACCAAACAAAACATTTTTTTTAATCAATGGTGACGCCAACTTCTTTGTCTCCCAAAATCTATCGGAAATTTCAAACTAGCAAAATTGCTGTGTTCCAAAGAAAAAGTCTTTGAAAGTATCGGATCCTAGTTATTAAAAAAGTTCGTGGAAACTGGAATTAAAATCGAAGATGTATTTGGTAACAGTACATCAGTATCACAAAAAATGAGAAATAAGTAATAAGTTTTTTCTATTTCGGTTATTGGTTATAAACTTGCGTGCATAGAAATCGGCCCATTGCTAGCTTTCGACTTTTTATTTTAGAAACTATTCCCCAACCAAGAAACAAATGAATGGAATTTATGTTGTGGTTTAAAGGGGCTGTGCGCCAAAAATTAAAGTTTTAGTGTAAAAAAATCTAAGAATAACTGTTCAAACCTCGTTATTCTACGATAAACCATCGCTGAGATATACCGCTTTAAAGTGTGGACGACGCTCTCGTGACGTCACGAAAACTTCGTCCAGCGGCGCTCTGCATTGTTAATTTGATTGTTCCCGGCACGCGTGAGTGGTTTTTGTTTAAATTATTGCAGGTAACACAGGAAAAACATTATGTTAATTTAATTAAATCCACTTTCTCGTGCGTCGCTTGAGCTTTCGTGACGTCATAGGGTGAGATGCGGTACCTTCATAGAGCCATATCTGCGGTATTATTTGTCATAGAGGGGTGCGGATTTAACTGTTATTCTTAGATTTTTTTTCTCTTTTTTTTGAGATGAAGTTGTTTTTTTGGCGCACACCCCCTTTAACAAGAACGACTGGCTTGTTTATTATTGTTTTTGAAATTGCAACTGCATCTGCATGAATTGTGCTCGAAACTTCTACAAAAATAAAATAAAAAAAAATGCTCAAAAAATGATCATACTTCCGGCTGAAAATTTGCACATTACCTGTTTAAAGGTCGTTATCTGTGACCTGAAAATCGTCAGACGTCTGAATCGCTGCAAAAAGGGTGTCAGATTTCCTTTCAAAATATATTTTTGCAGATTTGACAAATATAGTCAGTTAGCAGTGGGCCGATTTCTATATGCACGCAAGTGTAGTAGTTCTCTAACAGTATTATATGGTATCTTCTTGCAAACCTAATGCTAGCGTTTATCCGACCACCATCAAATTAGCATTATTATTTGCATTAAAAATAAATTACCTATATAGTACATCATTTGTTGCTCCAACTTTAATACAGAAATTGTATCAGGTACTAGTTAATCAAAACAGAATTTCACATTTTTTAGAACTGCACTATCCTTAAAATGCCTCAATTTTTGATGATGAAAAAAGGGCGTCGAAAAATTCTTAACATGATTTTGCTTCATATATTTTTGAAAACTTGTTGAATGAGTTTTTTTTAACTTCATAAATCCAGGCATTTAAGTTGGGAATCAAATCAGTTTCTACAACTAAATAGGTGAACTAGGCATTCAACTTGAATGATTTCCATTATCCAGCGTTCAGCTTTTGACATCGAGGAATACAGTAAATGTTATAATGTTCGATTCTCGGTTCGATTTGTATTGTCTACATTTGTTCTGCAACAATACAATCTAGCTACACTGCAGCCACCAGTTGCGCGCGCATGTCATCTTTTATTACTTTCTAACATTTATTTATTACAATTAAGCTCCCTTTTTCTATTTATGCGAGGTAGGTCTATTGTTCGATTGTATCTGAGATTGCGTTTCAGATAAACAAGGCATTTACTGCTTCTAGAGATAATTTCTTACACAAATGCGTAGTTTGTAAGTTAATTAGTCAGTTCTCAATAAGAGATTTTTGTGTAACAGTTAAGTGAAAGCGATTATTGATAAGTGAATTTTATAAAATCAATTTGTTCTCTAAAAGTAAAGTGAGTGTACTGGAATTTGTGGCAATATATTATTTTTTAAACAAGAATAACGTGCATTTTTGTATCTTATTTTGTAAATCACATAGGGTATTCAATCAAAATAACAAGCCAAAGAACCCAATTCAATTCAAGTATTAGGTATGATTACCAGAAATTTATAGGTTAACAAAAATAAAATCGAATATGCCATTCAAATTGTAGTTCAACTTAATTTTATAAGGGCTAAGCAGAAAAATAGTTACTGATCAAAGATAGTGTCAATGGTAACGCTCCGCAGTACCTACTATCTACTTGTTACTGTACAAACTTCTTACACAAACTAAACTACTACTTTTTAGGCGAACACATAAAGTTGTTGAAGGACTAAAGTGAACAGTGAAGTTTGCCGACAATAACTTTTTTGTCTGACTCAACAAGGACTTAACCATCAAGCGAGCGGCGCCGTTACACTTCTGAGTTGATTCTTCCCTGTATCAAATTATGTTTTGATCGTCTACACGTCAACTAAGCATTACCATTGTATAAGAACGTTACTTTTACTAGGTACCTCTACACTTCACCGGTGTGAAGTTAGCACGCCGCTCGAGCACGCCAAAGAGTAAAGTAAGCACGCCATTAGAGCACGCCAAAGTATAAAAAGTTAGCACGCCGCTCGAGCACGCCAAAAAGTAAAGTTAGCAGGCCGCTCAGGCATGCCAAAGTGTGAAGTTGGCACGCCATTCTAGCACGCCGCAATTTTTTGTTTCTTTCATTCACGTAAGATGGTGTTTCCCGTCCATATTTGGAGGAATGCTTGTTCAAGGGATGCCTCATCATCCCTCAAAAGAAAAATTCCTTGCCAGCCGTCAAACTTAGAAAAGTCATCGCTTGTGTGAAAAAATATTGAAAATTTCATGTTTTCTTATTTTTTTCTTCAGACACCTAGATAGTGTTTCACGTTCAAATTTGGAGGGATGCTTGGTCAAAGGATGCTTTATCATCCCTCAAAAGGAAAATTCCTTGCCAGCCATCGAACTTAGAAAAATCGTCGCTCGTGTGAAAAAATACTGAAAATTTCATATTTTCTTATTTTTTCTTCAGACACCTAGATGGTGTTTCACGTTCAAATTTGGAGGGATGCTTGTTCAAGGGATGCTTTATCATTCCTCAAAAGGAAAATTCCTTGCCAGCCGTCGAACTTAGGAAAATCATCACTTGTATGAAAAAATATTGAAAATTTCATATTTCTTACGACGATTTTTCTAAGTTCGACGGCTGGGAAGGAATTTTCCTTTTGAGGGATGATAAAGTATCCCTTGACCAAGCATCCCTCCAAATTTGAACGGTTAACACCATCTAGGTGTCTGAAGAAAAAATAAGAATATATTAAATTTTCAGTATTTTTTCACACGAGCGACGATTTTTCCAAGTTCGCCGGCTGGCAAGGAATTTTCCTTCTGAGGGATGATAAAGCATCCCTCCAAATTTGAACGTGGAACACCATCTAGGTGTCTGAAGAAAAAATGAGAATATATTAAATTTTCAGTGTTTTTTCACACAAGCGACGATTTTTCTAAGTTCGATGGCTGGCAAGGAATTTTCCTTTGGAGGGATGATGAGGCAACCCTTGAACAAGCATCCCTCCAAATTTGTGAAACACCATCTAGGTGTCTGAAGAAAAAATAAGAAAATATGAAATTTTCAATATTTTTTCATACAAGCGATAATTTTTGTAAGTTCGACGGCCGGCAAGGAATTTTCCTTTGGAGGGATAATAAAGCAGCATCCCTTGAACAAGCATCCCTCCAAATTTGAACGTGAAACACCATCTTTCTAACTTCACACTTTGCCGTGATTTTCTTGCCTAGATAAGGATTTGAACCCAGGACCCTCGCATATCCAGTGCAGTGCTCTACAAACTGAGCTACCGAGGCCTGTCTCATTTCTATCTTGTCGGTCAAGTCTTCCATCAATTTTGAGTTGTTAGTGGTTGAAAGGATAATGGATTCCAACAGCGATTGATTGCGAATGTGTCCCCCTTATACCTCCTAGGTCACTCCCATACCAACAATAACCACCGAAGGTTTCCATTGGTCTTCACAACTAACAACTTGAAATTTTTTATTAACGTCTGCATGCCACTAAATTCTAACACACTGCTAAGAATAATGTTTCACGAAAAATTGTCAAATTGCGTTTTGATCAACTAGTAGTCATTCTAGTAGTAGGTACCTATAAAAAGGCGACAAATCGTAACTTATGCGGTTTCAAGTGGACAGTTTTTTAATGATTCATTTGATGGATGCTGATAAAATATCGTTTTTTTTTTTTTTTAATGCTAATAATTTTCATAAATATTTATACTCATATTTTGTGTTAGCGCATTTTGTATTGCTAATTAAGTAAAAGCGTGGTTTTTAATGAATAGATCATTATTAATTACAATTTGAATTTTAAATATTTTAGGAAAAATAAAATACAGACAAATAATAAAAAATCTAAAGGTAGCCCTATGTATTTGTATATTTTTTTCCTCAATAACAAACATATAGGTGTGGAAGCGTGTAATTATTATTATTCCGCACACATCATATATATATATTTTACTCTAATCTATACTTAGATGATAAGAAACATTATTATTTAGGGTACCCAGTAGATATATATGTTTTTATGAACATAATAGGTATAACTCTAAATAAATTCGTGTAAAACAACCTCGACCCTGAGTTTTTAGTATATAGCCAACCCCATCAGACTTTTTATTACTTAGAGTGCGAGTTCGTTATTATGGGGTGTTTTTCACGTGCATTTACCTCTGTTTGTTTCCACAATATTTTCGGGCAAAAGTTTTTCTTTCACTCTCTGGTCTTCTGTGGTTTCAGTAAAGCTGCTATAATTATTGGCCTCATCGTTATCACTAAAACTATTGTAATTATTGGGTTCTTCTGCACGAGAAACTTTAAATCTTTCAGGCATCGTTAAAAACAATTGTTATTCACTTGGAAAAACTTTAAAAAAATAACACCACTAACTCACAAAAAAGGCGGGTACGGTAAACGAATTTAAAAATTAAAAATTATACTAAAAAGTCGACTTTAAACGCTGTTATAAACGCAAAACGCCGGCTTGAAAACAGTTTACTGTATTGTATAGTAGTAGACTCGACTAACCATCTGTTTCTATTTATAATAAAATTGTTTACTGGCTCACCGGCGACATCTAGAAATTCGGAGCGCCAACCAGGAAAATTATATAGCGTCGGCTCTTATGAACACTTTGCGCTCCCTAGAGCAGAACTTAAACACTACTGGCTAGAGAATTCTGTCCCTAAATTATTAATGCTCGATTTTATAGGGCGTCGCGATGCTCTTGGGACGTTTGGGGGGATAGATTCAGTCAGGGCTATTTCACCAGTCAAGGCTGTACCAGCCTCAAGAGGGACCTACATCCTAAATGTCAGGGCTAAGGGCAATTTCTCTAGAAATCTGAAGAAAAAAATATATCGGGATATGGATGTATGTTTGAGGAAGTATAGTGTTTATCAGGGTCTTCATTTATTTATTACATTTTCAGTCCAATTTTAAAATAACTGAAGTGAGTATCAACTTGAGATAAGTTCGGTATATATTATAAGCGACAAATGATTCCTACAAAAAAATGCTGCGACTAGTCGAGTTTATTATTGCATTATTTTTCGAGGTAAAATTCCTATGCAGTGTCCAGCCATAATACTTTTTTTTCAGTTAATTTTTGGAATTCACGAGGTATGGTAATGCATTTTTGGAAAAAAGTGTTTTACGTAAGTTTTATAGGGGCTAATCGCCTCGTAAGCCGCTATGATTGGATGATGGAGCTTTTCTGTTTGTTTCCAGTGCCTAAGCACTCTCACGCTTTATTCGTTAATAAGTATATTTTGACTTAGAAATTGATTAAATTTGGGAAGAAGCCCAGTAGTCAACATGTGATCTTGATGATATTTTCACCAGCATGAACTCTTAAACATGAACTTGACATAAAACTGACAAGTTCATGTAAGGATTTGTTACTGATTATGAGTACAATCGTGAGCATTGAAACGAAACTGAAACACTCGACTGACATATCTTGTAATTTTTCGCTATTTTGGATAAATCAGTATTTTCTCTACAACGGATAATTGCGGCATTTTGTCAAATATGACAATCCCAGCCGTAGGTATGTATTGGTGAGCCCTTTTTACAATGTATAAATCTGGTGTTCCATTTTAGGGCAAGAATGTTATTTTTAATTACATGTGCTTGTGGAACAAAAACTCCAAAAGCTGATTTTTTGGGAATATTTAGTGGTTGCTGTCCAGATTAACATACCAGAAGTCCCCACCCATCCGAGGGTGCAAACGACCCCAAAACCACCCCAATAGGTAAAATTTTCATTTATATGCTAAATATCTCGGGCACAGTTGATTTTTGGGAAAAAATGCTAGATATAAAAATTAAAGCCAATAAAGTTTCTTATAAGCCAGTATAAATATAAGTATAATTTTATTGAACCAGTGGCACGCAGGAGACGTCCAAAGTCGTAATTTATTTTTCGGTCTCGAACAATCACCGTTAGCTAGGTCTAGTAGCGTCTGAATGCTGAACAATCGTTAGTGTAATAGTGTATGTATATAATAAAAACTATACATTGAGATTGTTAAGTGTCAATCGATAAAATGGGCGAGTTTGGGTTAGTTTAGATTTAATGCTCTTATCTGAAGTAAAAATGGACAATGTTCATATGTTGAGGCCCGGCAGCGCTGCAAAACCTAACAAAACAACCGTCATGAGTGACCTACAGAATAGGATAGGCGTTATGACACAGTCGATTTTATTTTGCCATGCGATTCAGAAATGGGTAGTTCAATTTCACTCAATTTACACAATTTGCTTTGCAGTGCCTAGGTATAGGGCCTCAAATCAGTTAAGTCCCATGTATGCCTACATACTCCCAGTCCCTTCATTTTCTAATATAAATAGGTAAGATTTGGAATTTTAAAGCTGATACTAATGTAGCTACCTACATATTAAAATTTGTCTCAGATGCAGAATCAAAAAAATTAGTTTCTACAATACAGTAAAGTACAGATACGGTATGAAATTATTTAAACTTGACTAGGAAAGAGCTTCCATAGATAAGAAAACTCTGCTTTTAAGATGACGAAATTCAAACTGAAAAAATTGAAGTTATTATAAATCCAGAAGAAGAGAATTTCGATCTTGTCCAAGAAAACTATTGTTAACAACAGAGTGGTAATTGTGAAAAACGTTTGGTGGAAAATTATTGTCCTTAAATAACTTAAATTAATAATAAATACATCTACATTTTGGTTATGTTTATATTTAGTCATTCAAAGTATTTATTAAATTATCAATTCATTTATTTAGGACTTGTAGGCTTTTTTCTAAGGCAAATAAATATATTTTAACAACCTTGAATTTTTTTCATATATGTTTACATCAATGGATTTCCCTAAAAACAAACAGAACAAACAAACAAACAAAGTTAAAATAATTGTGCTTTCGACTTCACTCTGGATTCTAGATTCCCATACCCTGGAAATCTATTTTAGAAAATAAACTCGAAAACATTTTTTTACCCCTTTTCCAATTTGTCAATGATCTATTTGCTTCATGTTTTTTGTATGCTCAAGAATAAATTTTCACCCACTATAAATCCACAAAAAGGGTAGGTACCCTTTTTGTGGATTTATAGTGCAGATGCTCAGTTCCAGGTGAGCCTTTAATCTAGAGTATTTCCTAGATAGTTGACTTCGTTTGCAAAGCGTCCACCGCGTCTCGTAGGTTAAGGGGTATCAGATCGAATGGACATGCTTCATTTTTCTTGTAAAGGGCACTACAGTTACTTTGTCAGGATTTATTGTCATGTCCTGAAGGGTTCCGGAGAGCCTACGTTCCGATTATTGTCATGTCCTGAAGGGTTCCGGAAAGCCTACGTTCCGATTATTGTCATGTCCTGAAGGGTTCCGGAGAGCCTACGTTCCGATTTTCCCCTTATTGCAATGACAACGTCCGCGTTGCCTGCAGGTTAATCTCCCCATGGATTCGGGGCCTATTTTAATTCTGTCCTTCTGGAGTTGGCTCTCGCCCACACGCCTTGTTTCACTTAGTACAGCGATATCGATGTTGTATCCTTTTAGCTCACATGCCAAAATTGTCGTTTTCCATCGTGGTCTGATACTGTTTTTGGTATTTTATTTCGACCGCAGATAGTGTAGAGTCCGCGTCAAGACTAAAGAGTACGGTGTCGTCATTTGCGCACAAACCCAATTTTGAAGACTAACCGAAGTATCGTATCGATCGGTGCTGCTGCCGAACGCCAAGCACGTGGTTCATTGTCTTACGGCCAGCAGGCATATTTATTTAGTTTATTTTGTATCCAAGTTTTGTCTAAAAAGATACCCCGCTGCTGGTTTCAGCTCATGGCCGAGGTCACGGCAGACAGCGAGAGATAGACGAGGGAGAGAGATCCGACCCGCTTCGCGCAGCTTTTTATTTCGTCACCGTAGTCTTTAGTGCTGATTTTACCTCTACCTTTTGTTTTCCTCGAGCAAAGCGGCGATCACACACTTTGCCATTTCATCATCGAGAGCTCCCAGATCAAGCGACTCGTGTAGGTGTTTTTCTGCGTGTGAATTTTACTCTAGTACAAAAATCCCATACGGTCTTTGAATACTCTACAATCTTGCCCAGTGGCATAAAAATTAAGACGACTAGAACTCTCATTCAGTAGATCAGCCTCCCCTAACATGGAATTAGGCGCTGTGGGATAGCCGCACCAAATATGAGATAGGTAAGACGCTTTCTCATTGGAGGTTCTTACGTCTATTTTCATAACCGTTGTTCTGCGTAAGCCCTTATAACCAACCTCTTACGAGAGGCAGGTTATGCCCTGGGCCTAAGATTACTTTTTTCTATTTTGGGGCTAGTTAACGAAAAGGACCCCGCCATATTCAAATGGAAATTGGTTAGCCGTGATATTTGGATGAAATTCAATTATGTTGTTGTGGATGCCGTAAGCAACATTTTTTCACCACGAGCACAGCCTTGCATATGACAGGTGAGGCGGTTGTGAGATGTTAGCTACCAAATATTGGAATCTAATACCATTCGACCAAGGCAAAAATGTCAACCATTTTGACACCTGTCAAGCAGTCAGATTTTTCAGTTTTCTGACATTTTTAGCTTGTATGTAAGTTCTGGGTTCAAAAATGTGTACGAACTTTGTTTAGTCTGCTTCCCCCTCTGGAAAATGCTAAATGCGATTTTGGCGAAAAGTCGTCAAAAACTCAGTGTTTCTCAACGCTCGGTGGAGAACCAACGAATGTAAACCCAGAATAACAACTTAACAAATTTTTATATTGATAAATCTTAGTACCTACCTATTTTTAAATTTTATGTTGTTAAAAAACATACCTACAGCGTGTCATTATGTTAGAAATAATAAATCAATAAAAAGTGCTTAATGAGTACCTACTTATACTCATATTTTATTGAATGTTCATAATAACGATATGATAATTTATGTAGACAGTAAATGAATACGGTTTACCTTAATATCTATATATTTATAATCTAAAATTTTCTCACCAAAAAAAAAAAAACATAGTTCTCTGGAAACCTTCAACAATGTAAAGGGGTTAGATTTAAATGTTCAATATACTCATCTAAAAAATTTCAGGTAGAATTGTTTGAAAGTTTATGTGAATTGAGTTTATTCCTTGGGAAATAGGAAAAAAGAAAACTGTGGGTCTTTTCCAGAATCAGTTTTGCATAAATATACGCAACAATAAATGTCGTGGCTGCACACGAGGTATGGAATTGTGCATTCCATACTCCAATGAAAAATTCCGTGCCGGAGCCCGGAAAGCCCTGGTTCAACAAGCAGTGTGTCCAACCGGTTGGTCTATTGCCAAGACCTTAAGTTAAGGTCGTTACTTTTCCGTCTATCTGGAAATATGTCAAAGTGCAGCCCATTTCGAAAAATGGCAAGAAAACTCTTCATAGCAATTATTATCGTCCAATCTCACTTATATCCGTTTTTTCGAACGTAATGGAAAA